CGGTGGGGCGGGCAGCCAGCGGGAAGGGGTGCCCCCGGCTCTGCCGCCTCCAACAACCCGCAGAGGCAGGATTTGCTGCCCCAGAGCCCGCGCTCTCGATGTGCTACAGGTGGGGAAACTGAGGCACGAACGCACGGCGGCCGCAGCACCTTGCCCTGGGCGCTTTGCTAACTCAGGACCCGCAGGTGTGGGTGCGCGGCTGCTCCCTCCTTCCAGCATTTTTGGCTTTTTAAAGGCCAAATTCCCCCTGCCCAGTGCCCCCCTGAGGCTGGGATGCTGCCTGGGTGCCCAGGTAATGCGGCGGTAAGCAGCAGCGCTGCAGCACAGAGCGATGCCTTCGATGCCTTTGGTTTGAGACACGCACAAAAGCAACGTCCCGCTCCTCCGGCAGGTCACATCCCTATTGTACTCAACCTGCCGCTGCCACTGGAAGTTTACTCTTAAAATGGGGTCGGTACTTTAATGGGGGTCTGTTTGAAAGGGGCCTCATTGTGGATTTATTATACGGTTTGCCGAACATTAAAAAAAAAAAAAAAAGAAAGAAAGAAAAAAAGAGAAGAAAAAGGAGAAAACGGCGCCGTTATCTTGTTACAGGGCTGGTTCCTCGGCAGCCCTGTGCCGGGGGCTCCGGTGCTGGGCTCCGGGGCTGCCTGTGGCAGACAATAGGGATGGAAACAATTGCCTTGGCACGGGGAGCGTAACAGATCTTCGCCTTTAATGTTTCCCATTTAATGAAGGGCGGAGAGGAAGGGAGGGAATGGCGTTGGGATGCGAAGTGCCAGCCTGGAGGACCAAAACCAGCCACGAGTCCTCAGTGAGGGACCAGAGACCGCTGGGGCTGCTTCCTCTGGGCACAGCGTTTTGGGGAGCACGAGGCGGGGGGGCTCATCTCACGAGCACTGAAGCCCTAAAAACTCTGCGGGCATCCACGTGCTCACCTCGCCTCCAAACTCCAGCCCAGCAAGTCCACAGGCTGAGATTTTTTGGGGGATGGCGACAGCCAGCTGCTGCTGGGCAGCTTTTCTTTCTCCATTCGTACCCCCGAACGGCACGTCCTGCAATTCTCCCCGTGGCCGTGCCACCCTTCCTGCCCGCCAGCCGATCCTATCGGCCCCGTCTGTGTCGCAGCAGAACAGCTCCAAAGGCCGGGGGATGCCGAGGCGCCAGCAAGCCCCCACCCTGCCCCGCACCGCAGCAGCTCGGGGAGCACCGGCGAGATGCCGAGACCCCCACCCCAGGTACCCCGAGCTTCCTCCCGTGGGCGCTTTTCCCGGCTCGGGCTTTGCCGAGAAGGGGGCTGCCAGCATCGCCCCACCGGCACACCGCAGCAAGGGGAAGAAAAGACGGAATGCCACCCAGCAAAGGAGGGGTGCTGGCTGGACCAGGCTGTCTCCCCGCAGCAGATCCTGCCTGAAGTCCTAAGAACAGGGTTTCTGCTCGCAGGGCGGCTGGAGGAGGAGGAGGAGGAGGAGGAGGAGGAGGAGGATGGTAGGGGAGACTGCCCGAAGGCAGGGGGGATGTCTGTCGCCGGCTTGGGCAGGGATGAAGCAGGTTCCGTGAAGCCCAAGTTCTTTGTGAAAACATCGGAGAGCGCAAGAGGCCAGAAAGCCACAAACACACAAAGTTCCCCGCGCTGTCAGGGCGCGAGGAAGAGCCGCGGGGCTGCTCAGCTCGGGGCAGCGCACTGCGGCACGGCTGCCATCGCAGCTCCTCGGGCGGAGGAAAGGCAGGAGGGATGCGAACCGGGAATGGTCCCACACCCCTGCCCCATTCCAGAGCATCCCTGCCCCATTCCAGAGCATCCCTGCCCCATGCCATAGCGCGTCTGCCTCGGGGTTGATCCTGCCCCTCGACTCGGGGACGATCCCACCCCAGGGGACTGTGGTGCAAAGGGATCCCACAGATGCGGGACTGGGGGAGAGCAGCCAGCGGTTGGCTGGGGGAGTTGGGGTGCTCAGATTTTCGGGCTGGCCTTGCCCCCATGTGCCCATCGGGCAGACCAGGGCAGCAGGGCAGGCTCTTGTGGTTTATTTATTTTCCTCTTTCTCCCCAGTTATAGCAGAAAGCTATTGGTTCATGGGTTACGGCACACTCTTCCCTTCAGGAGCCCAGCGTGGTACCCAGTCATCCCAAAACAAATCCACCCCATCCCGAGCAGCACGCAGCCACTTGCCCCACGGCCGCATCCTGCCTCCATGGCCCTGGTAACCAACCCGGCCCGGGGAGAAAGACACAGGGCAAAAACCCGAAGGGGAAAACACCGTAGGAACAAACACAGCAACGCCGACAAGAGCCGGGGCGGCGCAACACC